CCCACCACCTCCACCCCACCCAAAAAAAAAAAAAAACAGAAGGGAAAGAATTCCTTGTCTGGTACCACTGTAATATTACCAATGTGCCTATATGGAGAAGAAAACCAGCAATTAAAGTCAGACATAAGTAGGAAGTGAGTAAGGGAGATCATTGTAAGATCAATTACTTCTCTTTTAACTTTTCACCTGTGAAACGGCATATGAAATCAAAATATAAAGAGTCTTTGACATTTCAAACAAGAAAGATCCATTCATTAATTTGTTAATCTTGTACAGGAATTAGACATGTGTTTTTTTGTATATCTATCATTCTGTCAATTAATATTTTGTTCACCAAGCTGCTTGCACAAAGATGGAACTGGCTAAGGAGTGATGAGTTATTCCCTCGCTTTTTTTTCTTTCTTTTGTACACTCAGCACAAGGACATCGAACATTTCAGCTCACCAGATGTTGATGCACTGTAACTTGCATCCCTCTTGCTAATCAAATCAAATCATTTATTTCAGTCATTGACCAGCACAGGAAATAGTCACATTTTTATACAAACTTGGTATGTTTGGTACATTAAAAATATAAATATAACTACTGAAGCACAATATGAGTGAGGGAGCAGAAGGGAAGGGGAAGCAGGGTAAAAACATACAATGCCCAGATCCATCACCAAATTTTAGATTTAGAGAAGAAGATTACTGGACACACAGTTAACTTTTGGGACTAGTCATTCCCTGACGGATTTTGTATGCTGCTGCACAGAACTTTGCAACATTGTAGGTTGACTGGTTCAATATCTATCGAAATACAGTTACATACCACCATACTATTGCATGTTCTGTATATAAAGAATTAACTATTTACTTAGTTAAATAATGTTTCTACCCGAAAAGGAAAGAGTTGTGGGGGCAGAGCCTAAAAAAGATAGTGAAGCTTGATGGGATTTTTTCCCTTAGCATTTCTGGCCCTTACATTATAGTGTGTGCGTAGTTAAAATAGAGCGATTATTGCTATTCTAAGTGTTCTGGTGGTACTCATGTTAGAAAGTCAAATACAAAAGGATCAGGCTATTGATACGCATTATGTACAGAGAGATATACACTTTCTGTAGACAAGAGCTAGATATCATATGAATGTTGACAGTGCATGCTATTGAGACCCAGGTCAGACAAGGATTGATAGAAGTTTGTCCAAAATTAACAGGTCTAATTTTTGGTACATTCAGCCTTTCATTCCATCCATGTTGATTAATATATATTTAAATTTCTTTATAAAGTATATTTACATATATGCAAAATACTAAACTAAATTTCAATTGACTCTATCAGTATCTGAGCTGAAATATCTGAATATATTGCCTGTGTGTCAGACTAGACAAGACTCGCCAGAACTGTTATAATAATGATAAAAGGTTCCTAAGCTCACTTTTGCTGAGCATGAAACATAAATCATTTCATTTCACCGGTACAGCCAAAACATAGGCTCTTCACTTTAGAATGGCCTAAGCTGTTGTAGCTGTGATCCCCATTCAGAAATCATAAAAGCATACAAGGAGACTTACATTTCCTAAGGATAATTCCCTGAAAAATCATCATCTCAAAACAGCTAGAACCCACCTAACCTCAGCTCCAACTTCAGCGTTGCTTACAAATACATGGATGACTTTGCTGGCTCTAGACTGTATTGACATTCACTCATCAACTTCATGAATTTATTCATTTATTTCCTTTAGAAATGGAAGATTTTCCAGGCCACCGTTCATTGCCCTGCTCCACATCCCGCCCATCCAATTCCAATGCATTGTCCTGCTCAGCAAGGCCCCTGGGGCTCCCCCAATCGGTTCGCTGCAAGCCGGCCTCATGTTTTCCATCCAGAGGCACAAAGCTGCAGCCACTACGGACTTCTGTGAATCAGCCTTCCCTTCCTCCAAGACAAGCCAGCAAAATGGCAGCAGCGCCAACGAGGAAAACAGCCCTGACGAATACAATCGGCTGAGCTGGCAAACACCTCCTGCAATGACTAAGGGCTTGCTGTTTTCAACCCTACATTCCATTCCAGCTACTACACACACAAGAATAATCTCGGCTGCATAGCTACACCTAGCGCTCTACACAAAGTTACGCATGAGATGGGAGGAAATGCTTCCCCTACAAACTCATTAAACATGAAAGGAAGCTGTGGCCTTCAAATGGTCTGAACTACAATTCCCATGAGTCAGCAATGCTGGCAAGGGGTGATAGGAACTGTGAGCCAAGAGCATCTAGAAGGCCATTGCTAAATACTCTGCTCTAACAGAGTTTGATCTGTGGAAGAAACCCCACTTTCCTCTGAAATTCAGTCTATAGCACCTTGTATTTCCTAATAGTCACCAATCCAAGTGTTAACCAGGGCTGACCCTGCCTATCTTCCAAGATCATATGGGATACTTTTGTCTTTTAAGATTTTTCTGACAGAAGTGGAATGCTATCTGAATGTCTCAAGCAGTTTTGGGGAGCATGAACCAGGACTTGCAAAGACCGCTGTTCTATTTTGGAAGTGTATACATTCCAGGTAATTTATAAGATAATGTCAAGAAAATATCTATTTCCTGTTGTCATAGAAAGGGAAGGAAAACTATCTCATGGCATCTACAAGACTAACCTAATTTACCTCACAACCTCTGAGGATGCTTGCCATAGATGCAGGTGAAACGTCAGGAAAAATGCCTCTAGAACATGGCCATATAGCCCAAAAAAACCTACAATAACCCAGTGATTCCGGCCATGAAAGCCTTCAACAATACATTAACCTAATTTATTTCAGCATAAAACTTTATGGGCTCATTTCCTCAGGAGCATGAAGGTTGCTGAAGCTCATGAGGTCCTGTCTTGAAATAGTCTTAAAACACCAAAGATCTCCCTGTCTGTCATGAAACAAACAGACACAGCTTTCTCATTGGACAAAAAAATCATGAGGTACTTCTGTCCTTCTTCTTCTATGTGCAAGGCAAGTCCATCACAAATGGATCCGCTGAAGCCTAGCAACCCAATACCAAGACAAGTTCTAATAAGCCTTATTTACTCCAACGTTTCCAGTAGGTTCTATTATTCCAACAGCTAGAAATAACTAAGTGCCTTGTCATCTACAATTTAGATACCAACCAGTTTGTAGTTCACTGGGTGTTAGGAAGACCAACATTCGTTTAGAAGTCAATATAAATAGCACTGTGCGAGTCTTGGCATCCCATTGCAGTGTGGACACAGAGCAAGCACCAAGCTCTAAAGGCCACTTTGCTCTCTAGGAAACCAAAGCAACTTGTTGTTTCCCTCTGAAGTCCAAGCTGAACCCCATTCTAGGGAGTTAATGTCCCCAATTTTTAGGCAACCTAGAATACCCTGCTTTTAGCACATATATCAAAGAAAAATCCACCTCTAAGTTACTCTCTTGTAAGACTGAACTCTCAAGGACATCGGTCAACAGTTTTTATGCTTCTTGGAAGAATGGATGTCCCAAGACAAAGGTAAGGTCCAAGTACCACTTTAACTGAGCAACATCCCAACCTCAAAATATTCAGGAATCTGCAAAAACTGCACACTTTTACATTCCTTAGATGAGCAACAGAAGGATTAATCTTAAGGGTCGGAAATACAATCAGGAAACACAAAACCAAAATGTCACTTAAAGACGGAGGCATGAATATCAAGTATATTATAAAACGAAAAGCATTCCAATGAGATTTGAAGGAATAAAGGAAGGAAATAGGAAATAGGGAGTATCTGGGACTGCATAATATCCCTCTATTCTAGCCTTCCATGTACTCCAACACACCCACCTTTACAGTAGACCCAACAAATCAATGGGATTTACCTGCATTGAGCCAGCATTCAACAACTGATTCCATGAATCTACCCTAGTGAAGACCAACAATTGGGATTCAGGCCATGGCTTTCTATAATAAGTCATCTTAAGTGTTTCAACATCACTGACCCTAAATAATACTTGAGCTGGGGAGGAGTTGCTAGACTACCAGTAATGGAGGCCAAAGACAACTGAGCTTAAGGAGGGCTAATGCTAAAGGCTGCGACTATAAGTGACAACTGAGCAGTCAAGTAGTTCTACTGATTCAATCTCCATGAAGATGTTTGACTTTGCATTACAGTGCTCCATAGGGGACTCTTCAAAAGGAGAAACTAAATTGCTGCTACCATTCTAATGCCACTGAATGTCTGCAATGGATCCCCACTATCAGGGAAGAAGTTTCCAGAGGAAAAAGTGAACACCAATAAGAAGCCAATCCCTGGCAGACTTGGAAGGCGTAATTACCAGTCCCCTCCATGAGACGGCCTGTACAGCACTACTTTATTTACAAACTATAATGTGAACCAGTTAACGGCTAACCAATTAAGTTTTCTCAAGAAAAATCCACAAAATTCCCGGGGCCCTCACTCAGATGACTTGAAGGCCTGGACTTTGCCTGCTCCAACTTCCATCACCTATTGCTTTTGAGTTTAATATGGTATATAGCAACTGCATGCAACATCAACACAAAATAGGGAGGAAGCAGAACTGTCTAACCACTTTGATTCTGGTTATTTTAAAAAGACCCAGAAATACATTGATTAGGAAAACATAAGTAGCTGGCATTTATCAAATACGTAAAAACCACAGATACCACAACCAAAGGCTGCCCATTGCAATGTGCAACTACAAACACAGTAAATAATACTCAAGACAGACATGCACATGGAAGAGAACATGCCCGAAGGCCCGCTATTTGCCTTATTCCTTAACAGAATTTACAGTTGGGAAGAGAATCAGAGAACGGGTTGAAAGAGACCACAAGGACGTCCAGTCTAACCCCATTTTGCCAGACAGGAACAAAGAGGGATGAAGTTGGCCTGCCAACCTGCATTCTCCAACCCCTGTTGCACCTTTGCAGCCTTCTTTTGACCTTTCTTATCTCTTTAAAGTCCCCTCAAAGTCTTCCATGGCACTCTGCCTCTTTCCTCCCACCCCAAATTCCAGCTCACCTTTGTAGAGGTTGGTGACAGCGGTGGCCGCATTTTGGAAAGGAACCCAAAGCGAGAGGCCTGGCTGCTGGCAAACACGGTCTGTGGGAAGGGGGGGGGGGGGTTAAAAGAAGGGAGTGGAAGAAACAAAGGAAAAGTGGAGAGAGAAATAAAACACATGAACACATGGTTTTCAGGCCTGCTTTTGCTAATGACTGTTTACTCAACCAGCTTATTCCCCCAAACTCTGGCATTCTAGGAGTTTTGGACATCAGCTCCCAGAATCCCTGATCACTGTCCAAGGCAACTGAGGCTTCTGGGAATTGAAGTCCAAAAAATATGACAACCTTTGTATGTTATGTCTGCTTTTGTTCGTCAAGTTAGCTTCTAGTTCAATGCTTCCCAAACCCTATTCTTCCAGGTGGTTTGGACTTCAGTTCCCAGAATCTCTGACCATGGGCCAAGGCTGCTGGGAGCTGAAGTCCCAAAAGATATACATTAAAACTCTTTTGTCTTTCACGTTTGCCTTTGCATTTCACAGTTTCCCTCAGAGCCTTCCCTTCCTCTGTCAAATAAAGGCCCTTGGTCTTCCAGGTGTTTTGGACTTCAGCTCCCAGAATCCCCACCCATTGGCCAAGGCTGCTGAGGCTTCTGGGAGTTGAAGTTCCCCTAAAAAAAACACTTCTCAGTTGGAATCAATGCAAATCTAGTCTCTCTCCCCCAGCCATATTGAGCTTCGCCATTTTGTTCAACCGCCAGCCGGGAGAGAAGAGGGAAGGGGAGGAAATGGGATGTTTTACTACCGAAGGAAGGAAGAGGGGCACAAAGCCACCACTGACTCATCGAAGTCTCAGAGGGAGGAAAAAGGGGAAATGACAGCCTAGTGGAAGCTCCCATGTGCCTCACTGAATGAAGGGGAGCTCATAAACAGTCCTGTGTTGTGGGGGGGAGATGGAGGAGGAGAGGGAGACACCATTTAATACACATCTAAAACATCCACTTTTAGAAATACTCAAATACAGAGATATACCCACACACAGACTTAACCCCCCCTCCTTTTCACTGCCTTTCTCCCCCTCCATTTTGTGCATGGAAGGGCCCGACAGGGAAGGACAGGGAAGGGCTGAATGCACAGGGAGGAATCCAGACTAACAAAAGGGGGGGGGGTCAACAAGAGAATATATCAGAGGGCATAAAGGAACCTCAGCCTCCCGCCCCACACATTTAACAAAATAAACAGTCCCATCCTCCTGCCATTTGTATTGTTGGGAAGAGAAGGAAGCAGCTTCCGCACGCCATTTTGTGTGATCAGTCGGTGGGCGGAGGCCGCTTACCCCTCACAGGCCCCACATTCCTTTCAGGAAAGGAAAGTTGGAGAGGGAAAGAGAACTCCCCCCCCCCCAAAAAAAATACATATATACACAAACACAGAGAAGAAGTATACATGCATGTTATGTGTGTATATGTATATATGAAGACCGAGAGGATATATGTACAGTATGTGTATATTTGTATAAACACACAAATACACACACTCTCTCTCTATATATATATAATGGTTTCCACATTACATATACCTGTCCATATATGTATAGAGGATATTGAGTATGTTGTTGTCTTTTTATATATAATGACTTATGTATATACACATGTACACACATGTATATATGTATGCCTATATATTTACACATCTTTTGCGATGTAAGTTTCTACATACATGTCTTTAGCATGTTTCTATAAATACACACATATATGAATAGATAGATCATGTGTGTATACAGAAATAAGTTGAATACGTATAAATATACAGATACATACATATATGTTAAAATCTACATATATGCCATCATATACATATAAATACATGACAACATACTCAATCCATACTCTCTCTTGATACATATGTGTGTATGTATATAAAGAGAGGATGTATGTGTGTATGTGTACTGAACTCATATGTAAAAGGCAAAGATATATAGATATAGATAGCAATATAAGTGTGCATATATACTTATATATACACCTACATATATTACATACATGTATGGAAATATCTGTGCATATATACACACACATAAACATACTGAATTCTCAGGTATGTAAAACATGCACATACTCTATATAAAACACATGCAAATACATAACACACACTTACGGATATGTATTAATGTATGAATGTACATATATATATATTATATATATCTACATGCTTAGATATAAATATGAATAGTTTTACACACACACACACATATATATATACCAGGCATGAGCAAACTTTGGCCCTCCTGGTGTTTTGGACTTCAACTTGCACAATTCCTAACAGCCTACTGGCTGTGTGTGTGTGTGTGTGTGTGTATGCATGTACATACACACATATATACATACACACACACATATCATTGTATACATACATGGATATGCATAAACACACACATACACACTCATATGGATATACATGCCTACAAGCATAGTTATATATACATTTGTATAATATTCACACATTTTTACAGATACATGGATATTGTATATATAGACACACACACTATGCCTAGAAGCAGATATATATATATATATATACACACACATACACACTGTGTGATATATATATATATACACACACACACACACATATATGTCACACATGCATACAAACACCGTTATATATATACATGGATATGTATATATAGACCAGGCATAGGCGAACTTTGGCCCTCCAGGTGTTATGGACTTCAACTCCCACCGACTATTAGAAATCATAGAAGTTGAAGTCCAAAACACTGGAGGACCAAAGCTTGCCCATGTCTTTTTATTATATATATATATATATGAATTTATGTATATAATTATATCCATATATGGATATGTATATAGAGACCCATATACACTCTTACTGAAAAAACAGGCCTAAAATATGTTTCCAGACCTGTGGAGGGCGACACGCGTGTCTGCGGACGTCTGTAAGTGCATACACGTGTGTGGCGAGGAGGCCAGAAGGGGAGAAGCCCCGCCCTATTCCTCCTTGGCGGGGGGGGGCGCCCGAAACGTCACTTCCCCTCCCCCCTAGCGGGCTGGGGGCCCCTTCCGGCGTTCCCTGCCCTCCCGGCGGCCATCTTGGGCCCCTCCCTGAGGCGGCGGGTTGACTGACCCTTGTAGAGCTGGGCCACGGCGGTGGCGGAGTTCTGGAAGAGGTGCCAGAGCTTCTGCTGCTTGCGGTGTTCGGCCTGCGGGGCGGCGGCGGCGGCGGTGGCGGCGGCCTCGTCGTCCTCCTCCTCCTCGTCGTCCTCGTCGCCCTGCAGGCCCGGCGGGAGGGCGCCCTCGTCGTCGCGCTCGGCCTCGGCCAGGCACTGCCGCTCCCACTTGCTAAACCAGTGCTCGGGCCCGTGCAGCTCCTGGATCTCCGCCTCGGCCTCCTCCTTGCCCGCCTTGTCCTCCATGGCGCGGACGGGGCCTACCTCCGCGCCGCCATGGACGGGCGCGCGCGGCCTACCTTCCCTCCTTCCTTCCTCTTCCTTCGCCTGCCTCGCACCACACTGAGGCGGAGACACACACACACCAAAAAAAAAAAAAAGCTCTCAACCGAACTGATCGCTCCTCTCCACGCCCCGCCCCTTTCCCAGTCCTCACCCGCCACTCAGGAGCCGCCTTTTGGACGCCCCCGCGCTCTCATTGGACGCCCGGCGCGCCCATCAATGTCACAAAGGAGGCCGGGACAGCACGTCTTGACCCCTCCTCTTTTTCCCTAATTCTCACCCGCCACTCAGGAGCCGCCTTTTGGAAGCCCCCGCGCGCCTATTGGACACCTGGCGCGCCCATCAATGTCACAAAGGAGGCGGGAACAAAACGCCTCCATTTTTTTCCTCCCTCAAAAAAGCAAGGTTGGTTACGCTTTCCGTCAAAGATGTTCTGCGCAGGCGCCGAGTGGAAAGGGGCGAAGGAGGTGGAGTGTGTCAGTCTCCAGCTATGAGTGGCTTGTAGCCAGCCGCGCATGCGCAGTTGGCTATGTTACACCCTTGTTTCTCCTAATGTTCTGTCCTCTTTTCGTTTTCTCAATACATTTCTCAATATATAGGGCGGGAAAGAAATTAAGTTTATTATTATTATTATTATTATTATTATTCGGCCCAGAAAGGAAGGGAAGGTGGGGAAATGTTGCTTTGTCGCCCATAACCTTAAATATATTATAATTTTATATTATTAATCTATAAGTAGTAATAATAATGTAATAATTATAATATTTAACAATAATATTGTTGCTGTTAATAATATGATTATTGTTAAATACTATAATTATTAAATTATTACTTATTATATTATATTAATAATAATATAAAATTATTGGATGTTGAATTCAGGGAAGACATGTAACCTTAAATATATTATTATTAATGTTATTGTTAATAATAATAATAAATTTATTACAAATTACTATCATAATATATTAAATTTATATTATTCTTAATATATGTATTTATTATATATTATTGGATGCTGAATTCAAGAGAAACACATAAACTTATATGTAGTAATAACAATGTTATTGTTAATTATTAATTTATTACTAATTACTATCATAATATATTACATTTCTTTATGTATATTATTATTAATATCGTTTTTTATTATATAATTATTAGATGCTGAATTCAAGGGAAACACATAACCTTAAATATATTATTAATAATAATGTAATTGTTAGTAATTATTAATTTATTACTAATATTACTATAATAATATATTACATTTCTTTATGTATATTATTAATATATTTATTATACATTTATTATTAGATGTCGAATTCAGGGAAACACTTAACCTTAAATATAGTAGTATTATTATCGGGTTGTTGTAGGTTTTTTTGGGCTATATGGCCATGGTCTAGAGGCAACCCAGTGATTCCGGCCATGAAAGTATTCGACAATACAGTATTATTATCAATAACAACAATAATGTTATTGTGAATTATTATTAAATTACTAATAATAATAATATAACTATTATAATATATTACATTTATATATTTTATTATTAAATATATATTTACTTTATATATATTTATTATTAGATGCTGAATTCAGGGAAAACACAATATTGTTAAGGCCCAGAAAGGAAGGGAAAGCCATAATAATATTATTATTATATTTAAGGTTATCAATAATAATAATATTATTATTATTGTCGTTATTGTTATTATTATTTTATTAATAATTATATTATTTCATTGCTAACAATATAATATATTATTCCTAATATTAGTAATAATATGTTATTACTAATGTTAGTAATAATATATTATTACTAATATATGCTATTACAACTAATATATCAATCATATATATTATTATTTATTTTTAATAATAATAAAACTTTATTTATAGACTGCCTTCTCTCCCTGAGGGGACTCAGGGAAGCTTACACACAAAAAAGTCAAACATTCAATGCCCTTAAAAGCAAATACAAACCCCTCAGAATATTACAAAATAACAACCATAAACTTTGAACAAAAGAAAAATTAACATCAAAATTAAAAGCAGAATACGAATAATCAAATCAACATAATTATACTAATAGTATGATCAGCAATTAAGACATAAACTCTAAGAGACTGATTAAAATACATGATTGTTCTTTCACGTGTACCATACATTTATAATAAATAATACATTTATGTATTATGTATTTGTTATTGGATGTTGGTTAGTTATATTATAATTATAAATAATATTAAATAATGCTATTACTAATATAATATTATTAATAATATTATAGTATTATTAATATATTTCCCTTAATTATATATTCATTATTAGATGCTGAATTCAGTGAAAATACTGTAAAACTATAGGACACACAGTTGTTTCACACATTCAGCATTATGTTTGATCAATTTCCATTTCTTGTAGAGTTTTTGAATCAATGTTTTTTGTGTGGTTTTTTTATCTGCAAATTAAAATGTTGCAGAAGTCCATAAGAAGGCATCCACCCCTTTCTTGCCACTTGCCCTTTAGTCCTCGAAAGAAATCATACTCAGTGACATCTTTTATCAAAACAAGTTTGTTTGGGGTGAATTAAGTGATAGAGCAAACCTTTAGATCACGGAATCCCTATAAAACCATAATTTCCTCTTTAGCCATTGAAGAAAGTGGAAACCAGTGGGTGACATTTGGCTTGAAAGAGAATCTATAAAAGTGATTTAGGAAGGAGAGAAGGTGAAGAGGACAAACAGGAGAAATAGAAGGAGCACAGGAGGAGGAAGAAGGCAGAAGAAAAATGAGATGAAGTTGTAGGAGAAAGAAAGGGAGAGGAAAAAGAGGAGGAGGAGGAGAAAGAAGGAGGATGGAGGAAAAAGAATGACATGAGGAAGAACAGGAGAAAGAGGATGAGGAAGAAGAAGAAGGCAGAAGGAAAAGGAGGAGGAGAAAAGATGAGATGGAAAAGAGAAAGAACAAAAGAGACGAGGAAGAGGAAGAGAAAGAGAAGAAAGGATAGAGAAAAAGAATGAGAGAAACAGGATGAGGAAGAAAAAGTGGAGGAAAAAGGAGAGGGACGGAGAGAAAAGATGAACAAGAGAGAAAACAAGGAAGAGGGTGGAAGAAAAAAGGAAGGAGGAGGAAATGAGAAAGAAGGAAAAGGGAGAGGAAGAACATGAAGAGGAGAAAGGAGGAGGGAGAACAAGGGTAAAAGGAGGAGAAGCAAGAAAAAGGAGGAGGAGGGAAGAGAACAGATGAGAGGAAAAACATGAGAAAGAAGAGAGAAGAAAGGAGTACGGAGAAAAAAGAAAGAGACAAAGAACAGGAGGAGGAAGTAGACAAAGAAGATAAAGAAGGGGAAGAAAAGGAGGAGGAAGGCTGAGAAGGAAAAAAAAGAGAAGGAGAAAAAAGGAGAACAGAGGAAAGGGAAGGAGGAGAGGAAGAAGAACAGAAGAGGAGGAAAGAGGAAGCCGAAGGAGACAAGAAGAAAATAAGAGGAATAGAGTCAGCACCTTGGATAGCTCTGAAATAGAGGAATTTAAAGGGGTCGTGGATAGTGGGATCCAGACCCAATGTGTGGATTAGCGAAACCCAATGTGTGGATACCAGGATCTGTTAAGCGGGTAACAGAAAGCAGCAACAGACAGCCTGTGGATCCATGCCTGGCAAGATTAAAAAGCTATAACACAATGTTCCCCAATCAAAAAGTCTCACCAATTTAAGAAGAAGCCATCAAGCTGGAAAGGATGACAATTCACGGTAAGCCGCAAAAGGAAGCCAACATGTCCAACAAGAATAAAACAGACATTTTTACAGAGTAAGGACTTTTGTTTTTCCCGCTCACACACAGCTGGGCCTGACTTCATGCTGATTGGTGGAGCCAATCTCTGATGTCACACCAGCTGGGAGGATTCCCTCTCGGAGTCAGGACTGTGGCACCCACCAGCCAATCAAAGAGTGTTCCCCACTTCCAATGCAGATTTCTGCTCTCCAATGGCTGACAGGGGGCAGGATGACCAGTGGAATAAAAGAACACATAGTTTACTGAGTAAACTATGTATTCCCAACTTTGGAATGAACAAAGAGGGGTCTTTTGATCAGATGGGCTTTATTATCAGTATAATTGTGTCATGAGCCCTTAGCGAGTGAGTCTAACACCTCTGGTGCTAGTGTCCATTGTGTTCCATAGCAGTATATTGTCCGAGGTGAGTGGATTATGGAATCCATTCCTGGGAAAGGGGAAATGGCATTGTGGAGAAGTGGGGCAGGACCTCCTCTTTTACTAGAGGAGTGCCGGGTGATTAATGTTCCTTTTGTGTCCAGGTGACTGCACAAAGGGTAGGCGGCTCAGTGTATGGATCCTGTCGTCCCGTGTACATTCGGTCTTATGGGAACCAATGGAGATGGATTGATTCCAGTAATGATGGGTGCTTGAGTCCATTGTTGTGATGCCAGGAACAACGCTAGAGGGAATTCCAGGGTTAAGAAGTACCAATGAAAGGTTACCAGAGTCTTGCTTCAGTGGCCTCAGATCTCCAAAAGTTTTGTATAGGTACTCCAGGTCAATCACATGTCGGATCAGGGTATCAGGGTCGGATCAAGATGGCAACCTATGCTTGGCAGGTCCGCAGTCTGGGCGTCCTCCTGGACTCAGCAATGACCCTTGATGCTCAGGTGTCAGCAGTGGCTGGGAGGACTTTCGCACAACTAAAACTTGTGCCAGCTGCGACCGTACCTCATGAAGTCTGATTTGGCCATGATAGTCCATGCGTTAGTTACCTCTATATTGGACTATTGCAATGCACTCTACGTGGGGCTGCCCTTGAAGATGGCCCGGAAACTTCAATTTGTCCAATGTTTGGCAGCCAAATTGTTAAATGGAGCGAATTACAGGAATCGGTCTACCCCTCTGTTTAAGGAGCTTCATCGGCTGCCGTTCATATTCCGGTCCCAATTCAAGGTGCAGGTTATCACCTACAAAGCCCTGAATGGTTTGGGACCCGCCTACCTTCACGATTACATTTCTTTCTACGAATCTGCATGACCTCTTCGATCTTTCAGTGAGGCCCTCCTCTCGTTCCCACCCCCGTTGCAAGTGCAGC